GGTTTTTTGGTACCAGCAATCAAACTCACGACCTCGTGCTTGCCAGGCAGGCGCTGTGCCACTGAGCTATATCCCTGGCCCAGCAACTGTCTTAATATTTTGTTGCCTTCATGTTAGGATAAATTTTGCAAGCTCAAATTATGAATCAATAAGCACCGGAGTAGTTCCTAAAGTATATTCAGGTGTAACAGCGCTATAAAGAGTTTGCAGGATGTGAGCTGAGGTGCAGCTCAGTGTACAGCACTTGCTTACCACACACAAGACCTTAGATCCATCCCCATCACCACACACGCACAAGGTAAGAGTTTGCGGCATATGAACTGTCCTGTTTTCACACTCTGTACAATGGAAGGTTCATAGATAATATCCTTCTCATCTACTTAAATTAGCCAATCTTTTTACCATTGATATTTTACATATTCTAAGCTTGTGATGCCTCAATTTTATTGATTACTATGCTATAAAATCTCTATTTGATAATATTTTTTAAACTTCTAAGATATACTACGTGGAAAATGCATGGTACAGAAACACATATATTTATTTGGTATCTTTGAAAAAGAGGAGGAGAAAGAAAGATTCCTATTTTTCCTTGCATTTACATGAAGAATCTCAAGAAAGGTGAACAAGAAACGAGTAACAGTGGTTAACAGAGTGGGGTGGAAAACGAGGATGGTGGGAGACTTTAGTTTAAATACACATATTTCAATATGTATTATTTTTTGAACCCTATCACATTACATATTCGAAAAATTAAATTAAAAATTAAAATATATGAGGCGTTTCTATGTGCTAAGCATTGTCCCAGATATTAGGAATAGAGGAGTAAGCAAAACTGACCCAAAAATTAATGCCGTCCAGAGCTTACACTCTAGTGGAAAGAAGCACGTATCAACCAAATAACTAAATATATACAGTAAGCCAGGTGATTTTAAGTACTGTAAAGAGAAATAAAGCACAGAAGAAAGGAGAATAGCCACAATGGGTAAAAGGATTCGTCTGTGGTCAGAGGGTTTCTTTGAAAAAAACCTGGAATAAAGACCCGCATGAAGGTGGAGGATCTAGCTGTGAAAAGCACTCAGGGCACATAGAAACAGCAAGGTCAGAGGCCTTGGAGTAAAGGAAACTGCTGTGTCAGTGTGGCTGGAACAGAGAAAGGTGAAAGAGGAGTAGAAGGTAAGTTCTACAAGGCAGCAGAGGGCTAGCTTCTCAGTGTTTTAGGAAACTGTCAGGGTTTTGGCTTTTACTCTGAATGACAGGGAAAGCCAGTGGAGGGTTTTGAGGTCAGGAATAACTTTCATTTTAACAGGATCTTGCAATATCATGTACAGGTACAAACTTCCTATACCTAAAATGTACCAATAAAATAAAAACAAAAAAATAGGATCTTGCCTGAGGCTGGACTGGAGGCAGGTTGGGGTGAGGGTTGGGTAGACAAACCTGTTTGAGGAGTATTTCAACAATCTAGGCAAAAGATAATAGTTGTTTGTTTGGTCAAATTATGAATATATTTTTACAATAATAGACAAAAGTTACTGAAAGATTTGATGTGGAATATAAAGGAAAGAGGACAGTCTAGGATGATTTCAAGGTTTTTGTCCAAAGAAACAGAACCGTCATTTGCTGATCAAAGAAAAAACACAGGAGCTGGGTCAGAGGTAGAACATCAGAAGCTCAGTTTTGAATATATCAAGTTTAAGTTACATACTAGACTCAAAGAGGGATGTAGAATAGGCATCTGGATGTAGGAATGCCAGTTTGGAGGAAGGGTCAATAAATGATATTTAAATATGAGACTTAGGAAATCACCAGACTGAATTATATAGAGTTCTCACTCTAATATATTCAAGCTAGTTGCCGTATCAGGAGAGGATATGGGGCTGAGGGTACGGCTTAGTAGTACAGTGCTCTTCTAGGGTGTTCAAGGTCCTGCGCTAGATCCCCAGCTCAGAAGAAAAGAAGGAAGATAAAGGAAGGGAGGGAAGAAAAGGAAGGAAGGGGAGGGGTAGGCAGGGGATATGAGGAGAGGAGGTGTGGGTAGGAGAGGAGAGGGAAGGAGGGAAGGAGGGAGGCAGACAATGGGAGGAGGTTGATCTTATAAAAATTCCAAGTTTAAGAGGGAAGGAGAAATTAGAACCTAGTTACCTGTTCTTTAACACAGACCTTGTTCTCTGGGAATGTAATATTTGATGTGAACTACCTTAAATGTAGGCAATCTCCTAAGAGCACCAACAATTTCATCTATATCCTCTTGGGATTTGCTTTCAATTCAGCTAAAATAAAACAACAGCTTAGAAGCCAGCATTATGGATACTCTTCCAATTAAAAAAAAAACTCTCTTGTAAAACTAAGAAATGACAGTACTACACAGGTGGTAACAGGAGATTTAGTGAAAAGAACCAACTAACCTTTTATCCTGGTCATTTTATACCAACGGCCATAGAATGATCATGAAATATTCATGCTCATCATGACAAGTCCAACAAGATGTGGTAACATTAACTGGGATTACTAACAGAAAGGTTTCCCAGTTCTTCCTATGATAATTAAAAGTTACAGAGCCAAAATTCATAAATAGATTTAATACCATGATGACATTTTGGAGCAGAAAGAAGTCTAAAGAAATTCTCAGTTCTCTCACGTTAGTGACAAATTAACCAAAGCTCCCCAGAGGGATGAACTGCCCTGTAAGAGGCAAGCTTCTGAGTGAGTGAGTGAAGAGCGGGTGAGTGGGTGTACTCCACTACCAGATCCTGGAATTCCTATGGTCTATCACGACCTCTTCCCTAACTGTGTTAATGATCATTTCATTGAACCAACTTCAAGAAACAGTCTATGATAACTTTAAAATTCAAGGTGTAAATTGAGCCAGATGAGGCAAAAAACAAAAGAAACATTACTTTGCTTTCACCTTTGCATCATGACCACCAACTAGACCCATGACTACTCTCTTTTTAGAAGCTATTATGACTCACATTATAGTTCTCAAGTTCCTAAAATAATGCTAAGTACTATTTACTACTATCAGAGACAATACTGGAGCAAGGACACAGTTTAATTAAGAAAATCAAGGACTCATAGAGAAACCCATCAAAAATTTTAAAAAGTCCAGCACTGTCATATACTGTTAGTGATATAACCATTAGGGAGCAATAGACTCAAAGTTATTAAGGACTATAAAAGCACTTTTGCCCTTAAACTATATAGTGACCAAACTGTTGTATTTTCCTTCTGGACATATAGGAAGATTGCATTTCCCAATCTCCTTTTCATCTAAAAAGGATAACACAACTAATTCATGGCCAAGGGAATGTGACAGAATTGATGTGGACCATTTCCACTTAAAAGTCTTCCAAATAATCCCTCCACTCTTGCCATGCCCTAAAGCAGAATCCCAAAACAGAAAGGACCTGGACCCCTGAGTCACTACTCAGGGGAGAATCACCGAAGTAGTACCTGATAAAGAACAAGACTTAGTGTGAGAAGTTTATCTTAAAGTATGAGATTTGTGGCATCTGGTATCATAGCTGGCACTAATCATTTAGATTTATGTAACTGTTTTAAATTCTAATGGTTAGAGTAAAACATAAGTGAAATAAAATTACATGAAAAAAATTACATGAAGATGGCAGAATTTCAGATCCTTTGTATCTAAAATTATTTTAAAACTATTTACTATGGGGGTGGGTTCTACTCTGTACACTTCTGGATTGCTTTTTTGGTATCAGCATATACTGATACCAAAAATAAAAAAGGTTAATGTTGTTAAACAACCACTGCTTTAGGGCTAGGGATGTGGCTCAGCAGGAAGGCCCTTGTTCCTAACATACGCAAGGCTCTGGATTTGACCCCCAGAACTACATTTAAAAAATTAAAGAAATACAATTAACAATCACTGTTTTAATAAAAGTGCTTTAATAATTTTAAAACTAAAAATAAATGTCACTTCAGTTTCTCATCTCTGCCACCGGACAAAACTCAAATATGTTTTCAGTATGTCTTATTAAAATGTTACAGTTCTTTAATCACATCTTATCAGCCCTTATCATATCATCTCTGTTGATAAGAAATCTTCATCTCCACTCTACCAAGTAAGGCTCATAAAACCATGACTTTATCCCAAGTCACAGAGCCAGTAGCTAGCTCTAAGTAGCTAGTAAGTACTCACAGAGCTGGTAAGGAGCTGAGCTAGAACTATTGTCAATGTATTTTTCAATTCTAATCCAGTGTTCCCACCATTTCACCATGCTTTCTTGCTTGTAATACCATCGCATGTAAGTCAACTGATTACACACTTCGCCTCTCATCCAATAGCTTCCAAAGATGACTGCGATTCTGAATCAGATATTTGGGTCTACCCTTAAAACGATCACTTATAAAGGAATCCACAGTACAATGTATAAAACTGAATCAGAAGAAACCATGTCATTCTTCAACAAAATGACCCATATACACAAAGAATTACAGTTATGAGAAGATACCAACTGGTCCCTATATTACAATATTAAAGGAAATAATGACATTTTAAAGAAAAGTAAAATTAGTACAAGATCCTAGACTCACATTATCAATCATAAATGCTAGTTACTGGAATATTAACCACTATTCACAAAAAAATCAGTGGAAGGCTCAGGTCCCTGAAAGAACTAACCATTAGCTACATTTGTTTTTGTGTTTTGTTTTGGAGGAGTTGGACGCAGGGTCTCACTATGTAGTGCAGGCTGGCCTTGAACTCGCTTATGTAGCCCAGGCTGGCCTCAAACTCACTGCAATTCTCCTGCCTCAGCCTCCACAGTGCTGGGATTACAGGCGTGTGCCATAACACCCAGCTAGCTATGTTTCTTTAACAGACACAATGGCTCAGACACAATGGCTCATATTTTCAGACCACTTATGTAACTTTCCAATAAGCAATAACGGTAGGAGGTATTAAAACTCACTTGTGTTACCAAAGAATAAAAATGAGGTGTAACAGCCTCTGAGTTCACACATCCCCTTACCTTTATATATCTTTTCAGCATTACACAAGTGAAGCGTGAAGTAGGTATCAAGGAGCTGATATCCATTTCTATTAACAATGTTCCGGGCAGCTATGTTCCGAAGATGTCGCAGTCGTCGCTAAAAATAACAAAAAGAGAGGGCATTCAGCTTTTTACTCCTATAAAATGTTTTGAATGTTGCAGCTCAAAAATGAAATACAATAGGTTGTTCCAGTCATTTATTGTTGAGTCAGTCACCATAACAGTCTATTTATGCCTCAGCATCCTCCACCTGCCCTACTTCATTTACAGAGTAGTTACTTGTATGAAATGACAAGATACAAAATATATTTGGAAAGCATAAATATTATAGAACTATATACCTGCAGTTCCCTAGAACATAAACTATGTAGGAACTTGCTTTTTGCACGTTATATAGTAACTTGCAGAAGGATTCCAGTAGACATGCAAAGTCCACCTCATACCAATAGAAATCCAGATTACAAACATATACCCCCTGTTGCTAGTTCAGCCTAGATGCCAGATCATTTGTACAACCAGCAAAAAAGACCAAAGCCAAAAAGTAAAAGTAGGAACTTACCGTGCTCCATGTACCCAACAACCCTACTGCTGTGAGCTTAAATTAAATTCTCACTTCACCACCAGCCAGTTAGTCTCTATGTCCTAATTATACCTCTTTCCTAATAATTTCTCCAGCCAGGATGCTTGGGGTATTTGGAGTCACAAGTTAAAGAAATGCAAAAGCTCCACAAGCAACAGCAGAAATCAAACAAAGTACAAGATAAGCCTGTGGACAGGCTTCATAACAAAAGAGAAAACGCTGTAAAATTTGAAGTCTAGACACATCAAATCCATCACCACCCAAAGCTAGTTCCCCGTGGCAGACAGTCAGTCGTCTTCAGAGACTTTAAAATAGAAACCAAGTGTTCATTTTTAAAATATACTGAAAGCTCTCCCTTCAGGTTAAAAGCCAGTCCATTCTCCTGAGGTAAGTTCACCTGCAATTACGTGTGCGGTAGCCAGAAGGGCCCAGGTCTTTCTTCCATGCTACATAACAAAAACAGGGCTACATAACAAAAAAAAAATCCTTTCTCCCAAACTAGAGACTAAGGTTTGCTGAGAGAGAAGGTTACTGTCTAATAAATTTGCTTAATCCTCTAAGTATGAAAAGCTCCAAATATTTTACAAGTTTCCTAGGGCTTGTTCTGAAAGATTAATTTTTCTACAATCCACCAACAGTTTTTATTTTGTATCCTGGAGTGCAGCCATTTTCTCTTGCCATATGCTTTTCCTTAGCCCTTTCAGTCAAATGGCACTAATCATCAATACACAGAAATCACATTTAATTTGCTCTATGATTACAAATTGGGTCTTCTCTTTATTTTTTTTATAACTAATGCAGTATTTATTTCTCGATTCAACATATGTATTTCATTATAAGGTAATCTTCCTGGTAAGAAAAGAATCATGGATTAGCACAGGGAGAGTCGTTTACACCAACAAGCCCAAAATTTAAGTCCAAATAACCTGTTTTTCACACGGTATAATCTAGAAAAATAGCTTGAATTTATTTTTTCTTATGGGAAAGACAACTAGCAGTGACCAGGTGAAATGAAACTGATTCCATTAACACCTGGAAGAAGTGGCTAGCCGGAACACTGGGCTGTGACAAGGTACACTCTGCCAATACTGGAGCAAATTATTTCTCTGAGCCAGGGTCCCACTAGGAAGCCCAGGCTGGCCTAGAACTCGAAGTTCTACTGTCTCAGCCTTCTAAGTGCTGGGACTACGCCATATTCCTCCATGTCTGGCTGGCTCAGCAAGAACAAATTAAGAGA